GGGAAACGTGCGTCTTGGTGGAAGCAGGCCTAGAAGCAGCTGAGGGTGACGGATCGTAGCACTCGCTTTTTATGTTTGTGCATTACCGAGTCAAACGTGCTACATCAGAGAAAGTCCACGAATGCCGTGTGACAGAAATGCTTATTTGTGTTTGAGTGTTGGCCTCAATAAAGATGGGTCTCTGTGCACCATTTTAGAGCCATGGCAGCTGATACCACTTTTCTATAAAACTCCATTTATGACAGTGATTTATTGAACCTTCACAGCGGAACTCATTTATGATTTACTTCCAGCTTTCCAGTATAATAATGATATATTTGTGCCATCTATTTTTATGGAATATGATGTGAGCAGCAACTCTCAGTGATGTCTTTATAATCCCAAGAAGGAATACTTCCAGAAAATAAAACATAATCACCGACTTAATCATTGCCTGTTCAGCGTCCCTCAAACCTCATCCTCCCAAGTCATCACATACTGCAGCTTGGTCAGATCAAACTTCAACATTTGACGCTGTAGGTATCGCTCTGGTGTCATTTCTGGATGCAACCACCATCAAAGTCAGGTCACTTAGAATAAAAAAGAGGAAATCGGCATTTGGAGGTGGTTGGCTCAAATAAATACAGGACTTTAACCCAGGTTACAGACAATTTGTGGGCTGTAATCCAAAACTTTAGTTGTTGTTGTTTTTTTCAAATACAGCAAAATAAAAAAGTGCATATCCACTTCAATGAAATTAATTAACACTTTTCACACTTCTGCAACATCACCCACATATACAATACAGCTGTTATATAAGCATTGCGTAAGCTCTATATGCTTTGCATTGTGCCCTTGAAATCAAGTATATTTAATGTAAGTGTGTGTGTATGAGAGCTCAGGCAGGCCCACATGTAGTAGCACTCTAAACAAAATATGTCCCCCTTAAAGAAACACACAATAGTGCCTAACCCATAGAGACACACGCACAACATGTACAGTTTGTATATTTCTGTATGTGTTAATTTGTCTCTGAAAAATCTTACCACTAAACCAACTGTTGTCATGAAAATATGGCTCTGTAATCTTTTAAGGGCCAAGTGTTGTCTTTTCCTTAGATTACAAGCTGTAATGAACTCTGTTTGATCTGGCACACGTCGTCAGCTCATGATATGAGTGACTGTACAGGATTATACACAGTGAGAGAGGAGTCGGTCCTGAGTAAACAACAGTTGTGCTGGAATTCAATCTTTCTCCGTCTCTGAAGAAGCGGTGCATTCTTTTCAATGCTGATCAAACCTGGCCTCCAGCCTCTCTCGCTCTCGCTCTCTTTCTCT